GGTCAGTAGAGGGCCCCATGAAATGCCCCTGGTACCTTTTTTATGGGCTTTTTTGAGTGTGGGCAAGGACACAGGGGCCCCATGATCCCCTATTGCCTGGGGGCCCCATGAGTTGTCAGTCCGCCCCTGGTTTGGTTGTTCCCTAGTCTGTCCTGCACAGCAAACTGGTTCCAGGTTGGAGCATTCTCTCTAAGCAGCCTGGGAGTTGTATAGAGCCCAGAGCCCTTAACTCACTACAGCTGAGCTTATGAAATCATCAGTGAGCCAAACAGGTTCATTACACAGCACAATAGAACAAAAAGTCAGTGTATAACATGAACCTGGGACAAATATACCTCCCATCCTGGACACAACCCTTAGTTCTTCCTGCCTTCCTGTCACACCACAAAAAGGCAGCCAGAGGGCAGAGGACTAGTTACCAGTACCAGGATTTGCTTCACATTGTCAGAGCATCCAGCAAGGAGAACAATAATCAGCACATCCCCAAATCTCACTTCAAATCGCCTGAGACTAGCAGTGAGAGGTACTGAGATATACAGGTACAAAGTTATTGAAGACAAAAGGTACTAAAGTCAGGGTATTGCTTAGGCACAATTACCATTTATAAATATAGTGCTACCCCTGCAGGAGCCACATGGTAGTTTGGGTTCTATGTTCTTTACATTGACTCTCTGAACAGCCTCAGTCCCTCTGACACACTAGGTTAAGCGATTAGATACTGCAATACTGTTGACAACATAGATACAAATACCCTGCCCATGGCTATGGCTCTGTATCAGAAAATAAACACCAGACTGGTTATTGGTAACGGAATTCAATATATTTACATGGATTAAAGCAGATAGAAGAATAAGCATAAATGAGCAGTTGGATCAGTCACAGTTCACTAGACAATGTACCCACAATGGAACAGTCTAGAATGGATCTCTATATGGTTGAAAAAATATATACCTGATAACCTGCAAACCAACAATAAACAATGGCATAGATAAACAGTAATAGCAAAGGAATCTATATTGCATACTGTGTTACTTAGAGTGCATTCTGTATGATATGTTTTGCTAATACTCAGGCCTTCCTACAGAGGTACCTCTTACTCTGGGAGCAGCTATCTGAGGAGGTGGGCCTTTGCCCTAATCTTCAGCTGGCTAATGTCGGGGCCCAGTCTTTACGGTGGTACACTTAGGTACAGTCCCGGCAAAGTCTGCACGCAGTTGGTAAGGCTACTAGAGATAGATGTGGCCAGTTATTTTGTACTCTGTCTCTGCTATCGGCAATAGATCTATAGCAGCAATGCCATTTCACCTGTAGAAGTGAAACAGCAGCAGTGGTCCCTCTGGTCAGATGCCTGCCCACCTCTGAATTGCCTGGGGTGACTCCAGTCCTCATCCCAGCAAAGAGAGTTTCCTGATAGTGACTCAGTCTCTCGGCACTCAGGTCACAGTTCCCATTAGCAGCTGAGCCCACAACACAAATGCTCTGTACACACAGAGCCCAGCGGTGGGGGATGAAAGAGGAGAATGAGCACAGGAGCACACAGCCTGCTCCTTTAGACAGCAAGGCAACACTCACCTACATAAATGCTCTAGATAACAACAAATATTCACTTTTTTGAGTTTAGTTCCACTTTAAATAAAACAATAATAATGTATAGATTTTAATATAATTTTATATAGTAGCAAATAAACCTTATGATTCACTGATCTGAATTTATTTAACTGCTTCTGCGCCACCCTATAGCAGACATTCTGCTACAGGGTGGCACGGGTGTGCAAAATCACATATATATGTGATTTTGCAGTTCCGGATATGCTGTCATTCACCACCTTAGACGTCAATCAGCCGGTAACTGCTTTCCGGCACCTGGTGATCGCCGAGTATCTCCACTAGGGAGAGACTTATGTATAAACAACACAGATCTCTCCCCTGTCAGCTCCTGCACACTGCTTTGTATGGCTCTGCATAGTAGAGCCAAACAAATCAGTGTTCTTACAGTGGAAAGCACTCACACAGCATACTGGGAAACAGCACACAGTTAACCCTTTGATCACCCCACATGTTAACCCCTGCCTGCCCAGTGTCATTAGTATAGTGTCAGTGCTTTTTATTAGCACTGGTCACTGTATTGGTGTCATTAGGGATGTCAGTGACACCAAGTCATTTCCCCCCCAGTGTCAGAATTCCCACCGTTGTCCCGCAGTCCCACTATAAGTCGCTGATCGCCGCCATTACTAGTAAAACAATAAATAAATTCCAGCATATATACCGCCATTTGTAAATGCTATAACTTTCACGTAGACCAATTAATTTACATGTATTTTTTTTAGCAAAGACATGTAGCAAAATACATTTTGGCCTAAATTTATGATGAAATTGATTTTTTAAAAATTTTTTTTACTGGACAGATTTAATACCAAAAAGTAAAAAATATTGCTATTTTCTCAAAAATGTTGGTCTTTTTTTGTCTATAGCACAAAAAATAAAAAACACACAAGCGATCAAATACCACCAAAAAGAAAGCTCTATATAAAAAGGATGTACATTTCATGTGGGTGCCCCTTTGCATGACTGCACTACTGTCAGTTAAAGTAACGCAGAGCCGTATGGCCCGGTCAGCAAGGGAGGTAAATCCTTTGGAGAGCAAGTGGTTAATATCTGATTGGTGACTCGCTACACTTTTAACATCTGCCTTGCTGTTTGGTGTCCTTTATGAAATACATTTTATTTTATTTATTTGTCCATTTATATTTATTTAATATCATTTGATTTTTGTATTTTTCTACTCCTTTGTTAGCTAATCTGCATTTTGGTTACAGTATTGATTAAAGGGAAATGGAAATGGTATAATCTATATCAAAGGGTTACATTTCTCAGGTCTTTGCCCTTTACCTTGAAGGTATATGTCAAACCATTGCTATGTAAGGGTTCTCTGCAAGATAACAAAGTGGTTTCTTCTAATTTATAGACTATTGATCTAAAGCTAGTACTTTCATGGTACATTGCTAATAGGGAGCAAACAATAGGGAAGAATTCAAGGAACAATTATGTTTGCATTAATGAATACATATCTGTTGCTTAATACTGTATTAACTGTGTCCTGGTTAAGACAACTGTTTCAATTTTGCTATCTCTTTTAAAAGGTTTAAATGCTGTTTGTGTTCCCACATTTTTTACCTGTCAAATGGTTTGTAATTCTGTACAGCCAAAACTCCACTGGCAGTCAAAATACCTTAATTGATTGGATGCAGTCGCTATTTGGACAACAATTTTCCTCCCTGCTTCATCAATCGAAGGATGTCGGATGGATGAAAGCCAGACAGGGCCATCCACTAAGTGAATTTTGCCCAATTCATCAGCAAATGGGTGAAAAGTGCATAGTGTGTCCAGCTTAACTTTTCAACAGCCTGACGGCTTCAAACTATTTTTTCTTTTATTTTTCTAATTTTGAACATACCATTAGAGTCAAAATGATAAAATTGATAAAATGGAATATATGCAAATAATAAAATCCACTCACTGGTAAATTGTTTATACTGTATATATGTAAACATACAAGCAGCATTTGTTACTTACTTAGCATCAACTTTCACTTCCACTGCTTTTGTTTCTATGGGGCATAATCGTACTTCATGGCTGCTGTAAAACAATTATTACAAAATCACAAATACCTCCTTGCTGTTCACATGATTGTAAAGTGCTCTTGGGTATTTGGTATGGTCTGATAAGCCTGTTGATGCCTTTTTAGCATGTGAGTGTTCCTCTCATTTCTTTAATAAATCATACCTGGTGGTTTTACACTATGGAAGTGTTTCTTGTATTTTACCCAAGTGACTTGGGAGTCCAATTTTCCATCTTGAATACCAGCCGGAGGAGTTGCCACCACTTGATGCAATATTTTAATCCACGTAAGCTCTGTTTGACCCATCTGTCCCTTGCAGGGGTCATTGCACTCTGGTAAGAAGTATTAATGTGCTTCTTTGGAGTGTGGGCTTTTTTCCATCACTAAAACAAAGTTTCTAGTCATCTCTTTCAACTTTCATGGTGGTGTTTTATTGAGAGGATTTATTTTATTCAAGCACTTGAGCACGTCGTTATTGGACTTTATTTGATTGTTTTAATGCACATTTTTACATTTCTATTATAAGTAAGTTTATTTTCATATGTTCATTTATTTATAGTGCGCGCACTTTTTCTCTTTTCACATATGTTTACTTGATTGTCCCGTGGGTAAAACTTTTAAGTAGAACTATAAACATTGTTTTCCTTTTTGGATAGAATAAAAGTGGGTTATAATCATTGTCAGGTTTTTATCTATCTGTGTTCCACTGGAGAGATTTCCCTTCACTTCCTGCCCCATAGTCAAATCAGGAAGTGAGAAGAAATTCCTTGAACGTGAAGGAATCCCTTGTTGTCACCAGAGTCACCAGAACTAGTGTTCCTATTGAAAGGTTTCTTTTGTTCTCTTGTTCTGGTGGCAACTCAAAATTTGGGGATTTTCTTTCAAATTAACACCTTCCCACCCGGCCTATAGCAGATTGATGGTCGGGTGGAACACTCGCCGTTGTGACTGGGTATCATATGATGTCCTGGCAAAATGAGCCGCTCACACGGCCGCTGGGCCACGCAGCAGCGCGATCTGTCACCGTCTGTGTCCACGGGACACAGCCGATGACATATCACTACACCGGCCCGTTGCTAGTGTCATGTAACCGATGTGACCAATCACAGCAGATCACATGTCAATTGTATACAATGGATGGCTTCCTGCCATGCCATAAATTGTATACAATTATGTTGTTAGCTGTGACTGGTCAAGGCAGTCACATGATACAGACAGGGCCAATCACAGCCCATCTGTATCATGTGATCAGCTTTGCCCAATCACAGCTAATCACAACAAAAGACTGAATGAATCAGTTTCGTTCAGTAACAATGATATCAATGGAATACATTGGCATTAGCACTCATAATGTGTTAAAAAAAAAATCCTGATCATTTGCCCAGAGCAGTTCAGTGTTACTATGGTAACATTGTATTGCTTTGGTTACAGTGTGCTGAAAAATAAAAAAAAAAAAAAGAAAAATGTAATAAAAAATAAAAGAAACATTTAAAAAAAATACAAATTCAGTTATTATTATTATTTTCACCAAACAAATGTCGCAGAATACATTTTGACCTACATTTATGAAGAAATGTTTTTTATTTGCAAAATTGTATAACAAAAATGAAGAAAAGTGCATTTTTTTTTTCAAAAGTTGAAGGTGTTTTTTGTTTTATTTAGCTGATTAAATACTACCAAAAGAAAGCTCTATTTGTGTGAAAAAAATTATAAAAATTTCATGTGGGTACAGTGTTGCATGACCTTGCAATTGTGCGACAGCACTGAAAGCTGACATTGGCCTGGGCAGGAAGGGGGTATAAGTGCCCAGTATTGAAGTGGTTAAGAGGATACATTTTCCTAATGGAGGCCCAAATAGCAATAAAAACCCAACAGTTGTTGTAATCACTCTCTACTCTATCCAAATGTAAAAAAAAAGTTTTGCCTTTAGTCCTTTATTTATATTTTCAGGATAACATAATCAAAGGTTATATTCACAACTTTATTTCACTAACAAAAATTAGAGCAGCATCTACCCATTTTCAGTTATATAGAGCATCCAACTCATGTACAGTCCCAGCTGTCTGCTCTGAATAGACCAGAAAACATTGTCAGATCATAAGAATAATAATAGTAGTAGTAATAATAATAATAATACATTTTATTTATCGGTGCCTTTCAGAACGCCTAAGGTCACCTTACAAGGATAGGAACAGAACAACAAAAAAGTAAATAAAATAAATATACATTACATAAACATTAAGTACAAAACAAATCATTGAAGTCAGAGTTAGCTAGATTTTAAAAATATATATTTTGAGATGTGGTTTAACGGTGGATAGAAAGTCAATGAGGAGAACCTTGGTTTTGTCACTGTTTAATTTGAGAAAGTTTGAAGAGAGCCAGGATTTGATTTCCTCTAAACAGTTGATGAGGGATTTGGGTGGAAGGGTGATAGAATGTTTAGTGGGCAGGTAGAGCAGGGTGTCATCTGCATAGCAATGAAAGTGGATATTAAATTTACGAAATATGAAACCAAGAGGAAGAAGATAGATTATAAATAGAAGGGGCATCATGCCAGAACCCTGGGGAACACCAATAGAGAGTGGAAATGTCAAACTTTCATCCTCCTTTCTACTTCTGTTTGTCCCTCCACCACCTGGCTGCCTTCTTTGTACTAGTACTTTTAGCCAAGCCTAGCATACAAGTTTTGGGAACCTTCTCTGTTCTCTTTTGCCTGAATTTATGTCTGCAGACAACTTTTATATATTGACTTTTTCTCAACATACAGCTTTAGTAGTCAGGCTAAGAAGAAAGTCAATTCCTATTGCAGTGAGTTCTAATAAGATGTACCTTGGGGGTTTATTTAGTAAAAGTAGGCTGTTCACTTTGCCAATGAAATGTTTACTTTGCAACCCTAAAAATTCTTCTTAGGACATGTCTTTCTACCTTATGATTTATTAAAAACAGTATTCCCAGCTGTGGAAAAGTCGGAGGGCTTATATCTGACACCCTGAAACCTAACCTGAACACAGGAGGATCCAGTCCACAAAGTCTCACTGGAAGTCACTGGAGGAAGCAGAATGGGCACAGCTGCTCCCCTAGCCTTGTGAGTATTTTTTTTACTGCACAATCCTGGTGACTGTGCACTATTGGGATTGCTGGGCTAGGTAGTTCCTCTCCTGAGATGGTACATACCGACCAGTCACCTTCAGTTTGTGAAAATCCTTTGTGCTAAGTAGTTCCTCTCCTGAGAGGTTCATACTGTTAGCATCTTCTAGTTTATCAGTACAGTACAGTCTTCTGAATTTGGGTAAGGTAGCTTCCCTCCAGAGGGGTACATACCTTTGGTTTCTACCAGTCTCTCACAGTATGATTGTGCACTGAGCTAAGCAGAAGACCTGGCTTGAAATTTATGACTTAGAGAAGTGTGTCCTCTTGTCCGTTAGTGGTTCTGGAACAGGGGCGGACTGACCATTTGGAAACTCGGGCACTGCCCGAGGTCCCGGGGTCAGTAGGGGGCCCCATGAGATGCACCTGGTACCTTTTTCATAGGCTTTTTTGAGTTTGCACAAGGACACAGGGGCACCATGATCCCCCTATTGCCCAGGGGCCCCATGAGTTGTCAGTCCGCCCCTGTTCTGGAGTATCCCATATTAACCTACATCCATCCCAATTACATAAAATAAAACCACAAAAATGCATCCACTAGACTGTTTTTTTTGTCATTGTGCCTGATCTGTTCTCTGTGTGTGCTGGCTGCCTCTGCTTTAGTGAAGGAGAACTTTGGACACCATCATCATCTGTGCTGGGAGAATACAGTGACCGTGCCTTTGATCATCATCGGCCAGTGGCCCTTACGAGGGTAGCACTTCATATGTATTACATTTATTGGTATTTTACACAATGTGTGATTCCTTTGCTTCTTACTGTGTGATGGTTATAATTTGTATGTTCCTAGAGGAGATAAATAGAGAAGTAAACATCATTTGAGTACTCTTTGTTGTGTGCATTATATGATTCACAGGGTTGGTGTGTTAGAGGACAGAGTGCTACATATTTTATAGATATACATATTTGGTTAATTTGGGGGTTAATTTGTGCAGCAGCTAAATTGAGGGAATTCAAATATTCAAAGTGTAAAGTTTACTCTGTAATCAGAAAAGAGAATCTACTTTAATAAACTCTAAAGATTGCCCACATTACTGAATTGTCTGGGCATTTTTGTTGCATCTTTTGTATCTTTGTGCTCAGGCTTTCTGAACTGAGCCTATAACAATTGAAAGAGATCATTGTCAGAAAGCTACTTACAGTCACGTGAAAAAGTATGCAAACCCTATGGAAATAGTTGACTTTTTCAACATATTTGTATAAGCTGTGATATGGGAGATGCTCAGCTCAGCTGTAGATGCATTTTTAAGTGAGTTTATGTCAGACAGGAACTACAATTAAGGGCCTGGTAGCCCACTTTTATTAAACAGTAACTGAAAAGTCCTTTTGACACAAGGTTTCCCATGCAGGGGGTTTCAACTTCACTCAAAATAATACACAGTGAAAATGCCAAGCCACCTGGAACTTTGGTTAGCAGTGCCTGCTTGGCTTGGTCTCCCAGACCACTGACTATTCAGGCTCTCTCAGCCTAGGTGACAGCTCTTTGCTGTTCAGGCACCGCATGGCCTCTTGACAGAGTTTTCCCTGTACCTTAGCTTGCTTCCTCCAGAGACTCACAGATTCCCTCCAGCCCCTTGGACTCACTGGATTCTGCAGCTTCCTCAGCCTCCCATACCCTCTCTTGGTCTTCCAAACTCTCGTAAATGGCCAGACTTTCCCAGTCCTTGGGCCTAGAATCCCCCTTACAAGGGTTGTAGTCTCCACCAGGAGCTTCCAGCTCTCCTGACAGGGTTCTGTCTTCAGGCTTACAGCAATAGCAACTGCTATTCCATCTCCACCACTAACTGCTCTCGCAAGCCCATTGTTAGAAGGGCTGTGTGCACCGGGGCACACATCCTGCTGGTTGTCCACAACACCCGGACACAGGGTTGGAGATTCCATCCCCCCCCAAGACTCTTAGGAATCTCCAAATTACAGAGCCCCATCAGGCAATACCCAGATCCAGAGAAAACTGCACAAGCAGTATTCTCCACTCCAAATCTATGCTCTGAAGCATTGCACTAAGCAGACATGCAAACTCTGTCTTTTTCCTGGCCATTTTCATAGTGACAGAGCTTCGCACTGTCACAAAACAAACATTAGAGATAAAGGAGAAATACCTCATTAAATGACACATGAAACTGACATGATGAATTTATTATCATAATTAAAATTAACAAAATAGTAAAAGGTGTATTTTACCACCATTTCATATCTATTAAATTAGAGTCAGGTGTTCCAGATTAGGTTCCAATCATTATAACTGTCTTAGGGAACCTGTCTTTTTCAAACCTTGGATATATAGGGTATGGTGTTCTCTTAGCTAATAATGTGAGTAGCGTTCTCATGCCAAGAATAAAAGAGCTCTGTTAAGTCATCAGAAATAGGGTTGTGGATGACTATGCATCTGATATAGCATTTTAAAGATGATCACATTATTTGAAATCAATGATTGCACTGTAAGAAAAATAATCTACAAATGGTTTAGATTTTAAATGACTACTAATATATCCAGAGCTAGTCAACCCAGTAAATTCAGTCAAATAATTGACCATTGGCTATTAAAAGAGGTCTCCAGGAACCCTCAAGCTTCACCTGAGGATCTGCAGGTAACTTTTGCATCAGTTGATACAGAAGTACAGTACAAGCATCTACAATCGGAAAAAAAGTGCACACATTTATCTACAGTATATGGAGGGTGTGCCAGGAAAAAGACTTTGATATCCAAAAGGAACATTAGGCAAGACTACAGTTTGCCATTGAACATACAGTATAGGAAAGATCAAGCCACAGTAACAGCAGACATGTTTGATGCAAAGCAAAGTAAACCTCACCTGTGAAGCAATGTTATAGTTTGGGATTGTTTTGCTGCTTCAGGGCATGTGCTGCTTGCAGCTATTGGCGTTCATATAATACAAGCAAAAAGACAGATCGCTTTGTAAGGGAAGTTGCATTTAGTAAGGGAATTTTCTCCAGAGCTTATTGAATAAGGTGAAGCTCTGTTGACTTTCATCATCCTACCATTTTCTTGCACGTGATTGGGTATTCTTTGAAAAGTCAAATTTCACCACATTCACTAAGCTCTAAAGAAATTCCTTAGCAAGGTGAATAGCCTATTTACCTTTAGAAAATAAAAGGAAGAACTTCCTGCGCTAAGAATGGGGCCCTATTCAACAAGCTACTGACACAAACCTCCTTACCAAAAACGAGTGAATAGACATAAATATAAAGTGCAGTTCCTTATGTTGTATTTGGACACTATATTTTCCTTATGGACTTATTTTCATATAACAGATGTTTGCAGTGATTTTTTTTGTTAGTGGGTTTATTTACTAAGGGGTTTATTTACTAAAGCTGGAGAGTGCAAAATCAGACTCATTTCTGCATAGAAAATCAGCTTCCAGGTTTCATTGCCAAAGCTTCATTGAACAAGCTGAGGTTAGAAGCTGATTGGTTTCTATGCAGAAGGGAGTCTGATTTTGGACTCTCCAGCTTTAGTAAATAAACCCCTAATTGTCACTTTATTCCCATTTGGGATTACACGGGTTGCACTTTTTTGTAATTGCACATTTTGCACATAGGTTTAGTACCTTGTGGTATTATTTAGAGCACTGCTATATTTTGCACAGTTAGGTTGCACTTTATATTTATTCATTTAGTAAGTTTAGGGATAGCGCTGCACTTTATATTTATATTTAGTACATCAAATCCTCTGAATCAACTATGAACTCTGCATAATATAGTGTGCTTGATGATAATGTGACATCATCTGAACTTGAAACAGATCTTTTAACACTATAATGATCATAAGCACACTAGCAACGTCACCAAGAATGATTAAAAAAAGTAATGGAGGGCTATGGACTGGCCTACTCAAAGCCCTGATTTTAAATTTAAAATGTTCCAGGGGGTTTGAAAGAGGCAGTTAATGCAAGGAAACCCACACACATCTTGTCAAAAATGTCACTTTAATGCCAATGTCAGAGACTGATGGGCAGTTAAGTAAAACAGAATACTGAAAGTAATTTCTGATAAAGGAGTCATTCCTCAGAGGAATTTTTTCCACAGTGCACCATTACATCTATGGGTATTTTTGTTGAATAAATTATTTAAAAGGCAAATGTTCCTTGTGCTTTATTCAAGCATATCACCTTTATCAGTAGGCACTGTAAGAATGAAGATCTAATGTTTGCCTCTTCAAATATATGGAAAAAGTCTATGACTGTATATACTGAGAGCATCATCTTCTCATAATTAGAATTTTTCAGTCAACTTTTACGTTCAATAAAGTCACAATTTATTTATAGATAAGAAATAAGAAAAGGATTAAAGTGTCAATAAAGTTCCTATGACATCTTGTTTGCACTCTTTCCTTACTCCTTTTCCTTTCTTCCAAAAGATATTAATTTCATTGCTTTTTTTACTCACTTTTATGCTGCTCCTTCACTGAGGTTAGATGAAAGAGGAGAGACCAGCAGCAGAACACTGAAAATTCAGGAAGTATGTTTATTTGGGGGTATTTTGTGTGCGCACTCCCCCACAGGAAGTTGGGGGAGGAGCAGAATTAGCCAGGAAGCAAAAGGTGGCCATTTGAATAAAGTAAAAAAAAAAAACGTTAAGATTGGAGCAGGTCAATAATAAGGCAATTTATGTACACAGTTCATGAATTTACATCTGTTTCCATAAATAGCATTGCGCTATCACATAAATCATAGATTCACAGAGCGTGCATAAATCATATTATTAAATATGAGTCCAATAAAAAATTCAAACCCAAACTCAAATAGTCCAACATGACTCTTAAACCATGCAAACCATGAATGCAGACTCTCATTGACAGATTATTTTTATATTGAAAATGTAATACTACTTTAAGTCAAAATTTCTTTGTGTATGATGATTATTAAAACAATATATTTTTTATTTATTTTTCTTTCGATAATGAAATAATCATGCACATATAACATTATTTACAATGTACATAATGAAAGTAACATTTTATTTAAATTAGGAAAAAAAATACTTTGGCTCAACTTTAAAAATTATATTACCACATTTAATTTCTGTAGCAAACTTAAATTCCATTTTTTTTAAGCCAATAACCTGCATAAACTGTTCCATAGCCATATAGCACTGGTGAAAACTTTAAACTGGATGTATTTTATTTCTATTTAAGATATATATATTTTACAATCTTTTCATTTATTTGAACTTACTCTTTAAACTAAACATGAGCTTGGAAATTGTTTAAGACCAGACTGATGCCTTTTAATAACTCAACATTATTTATGTGTCCACGCCACAAGTACATAATTATCCCAGTGTTCGTAATTGAATTTATTTGTCATTTAATATAATTTTAATGCAGTTCTTTATTCTTATTAACCACATAAAGCTGTTTTCTATGGCTCTTTTTCTTTAGGCTGTCTGCAAAACAATTCTAGAAGTGCTGATAAGTTAAAATGATTT